GATCCAGAACGACAGCCTCCAAGCACCGTAAGTTGTCTGAAGCGGATATTCAACAGGACCAAGTCCATCATATATTTAAATCACTGGACATATAAGGGGTCGTACAAGGCCAGTCTATGACCAATACACCATCATGTGGACCTCCAAGTTCTGTCTCTCATACCACTCGACCAACTCTGCCTTGCTCAAGGAATTTGGCCCCTCTTATTGTAAAAGGCAGATGTAGTTTGTCACCAAAATGAAGAATTGTTCGGTAGTCGGTAACTACAGAGTGTCATTGTAACTATAGATGTGTCAATGCTTTCAAATATTGGAAAAAAAAAACAAATTGAGGACATTAATCTCTCAGCAAACGACAGCATTTGTTCACCCTCATCAGTTACCCTCTGATCGTCACTTTTGTTTTAGGAAAGGACGTCCAGCAGCTGACCTCTTGCTAAACCACTCTGCTAAGTGGCATCAGCCACTGGATAATTCCAAAATAAGTTGAGTTGTTGCACTAGACATTGCAGGAGCCTTTGATCGGGTATGGCACCCCATGACTACTAGCAAAGCTTAAAGCACTTAGTATTTCAGTCTCCATTTTAATGCCAGTAAGGGACTACCTTCAAAAACGGAATCTAAGAATAGTCCTCAATGGGAAAGAATCTGAAGATTACTCAGTTGGTGCCATCGTACAGTATGGAAGTACCGCTTGGCTCTTTTGTTGTGGAGTGCCAACGCCTCAACCCTGGAGCTCGGGGCCATGCTGATGACGGCACTTTAATCCTTCCATATGGAGAAGCAATTGCTACGCGGCTCACTATTAATCAACTTGCAGCAATATCCACCAGGAAAAGGCGACGGCAAATCACAACTGCGGCAGGAAGAACACAGGCGATGACGGTACCAAGAGAACATGATGGTCTGCCCTCCAGTCATTTATCGTAAATTTGGACAAGGTAGAGAACTGTGAAAGATGATTTACCTCTGTTCTTCTAGTCAGCACATCAGCGCCTCCAGCATCACAGAGATGTTGATAGACTATTAAATATGAACAAGATAAATGTTCTCAAGGTTCCCCATCTTGTCCAGCATCGTGGTCAACCAGAAAGTGGCGGTCACAACACAAGGCGCTCAGCCATCATCAGAACTCCCCCCCCTCCCCCCCATGCTAGCTCTGGCTGTCTGGAAACGTCACTCCATCAGCAATTTGGAACACGCTTGCTCAACATGTAGATACACGGGAAATTAAGTCAACCGTCCAACTTTTGGCTGGTTCCTTATGCATCCTGTTCCTTACTTGAATGTTACTTACCGTTAACTTTAAGAGTATTCGTAATGTATAGAAGCCAAAACTTCATTAAATAAATCAGTTTCTAGAGAAGTTACAGATGAGGTAATGAAGGATAACAGGACTTAGCTTGAAGTTTGACCAGGAAAGTTACCTAATGATTAGTTTTCATTACGAATAAACTATTTATTATTAGTTTTTAATTGCAAATAAACCCTATCTAATGTTGCGGTACAATCACGTTAGCAACAGGATGACGCTGGAGCCAGCTGTGTGACAGAGCCTTCGTGTGATCAATTGACTGGATTGTACACATTGAGACAACATGTTCTAAAAGCGGATCATCCTAGGAATGAGTGATGGAGTGATGCTTCTGAAATAAGCACAGTCAGCACGAGGGATGTTGATGGCTGAGCGCCTTATGTTGCAACTGCCAATCTCTGGATATCTTCGAAGCTGGGGTCAGTTGAGGGAAGCTACGAAGCGTTGAGAACGTTGGCGTTATATATATATCAAAGGGCCCACCAACGTCTCACATGGATTATGGGCTCGAATGTACTAACCAGTCTACCCAGGACGGGTCTTGACGGGAGACTAGCCACCTCGCGCGGTCCTCTATCCTGTCCTCGAGTCGGTTCAGTGACTGGGGAAGGGTGGGGGGGGGGGGCACTGGCCATCCAGAAGAGCAGTGTGTACTCAAGATGTGGGTAAACATGTTTCACACAAGGTCCATCACCTGGGGGGGAGGTGGGTGACCCCGGGGGTTAAGGTACCTTGAGGGTTTGGTGGGTGACCCCCAGGGGGTGGTGGTAGGTGGTAGGTGACCCCAGAGGGTGGCGATGGGTGGCAGGTGACCCCAGGGGGTGGCGGTAGGTGGCGGGTAACTCCAGGAGGTGGCGGTAGGTGGTGGGTGACCCCAGGGGGTGGCGGTAGGTGGTGGGTGACCCCAGGGGGTGGCGGTAGGTGATGGCTGACCCCAAGGGGAGGCGGTAGGTGGTAGATGACCCCAGACGGTGACGGTAGGTGGTAGGTGACCCCAGGGGGTGGCGGTAGGTGGCGGGAGAGGCCAGGGGGATGGAGGGGGGAAGGGGGGAGAGGGCAGGAGCCGCCAGCCGGCCGCCCCAACACCTATCACCGGAGACACACACACACTAACACCGCTGATAAAATGGTGGCCGACACCCATCTCTCCACCCCGGCCATGGCTCCTTCCTTCCCCTCCACTTCTCTCCTCCTCCTTCTCCTCCTTCTTCTCGTCTCTTCTTCCTTATCCTCTCCTCCTCTCCTCCTCTCCTCCTCTCCTCCTCTCCTCCTCTCCTCTTCTTGTCATCCATTTTTTTCTACATCCTCTCCTTCCTCATTTTCGTACTTCTCTTTTATCTTCCAGTACTCATCCACGTCAGTTATCTTTTTCTATTCATCTTGGACCAATATATGAGTGGTCAAGCGGCCAGGAATTAGTGTTAACTACCACAGCTGCACTAGTATTAACTACCACAGATTAACTAGTATTAACTACCACAGCTGCGCTAGTAATAACTACCACAGCTCCACTAGTATTAACTGCCACAGCTGCACTAGTATTAACTACCACAGCTGCACTAGTATTAACTACCACAGCTCCACTAGTATTAACTGTCACAGCTGCACTAGTATTAACTACCACAGCTGCACTAGTATTAACTACCACAGCTCAACTAGTATTAACTACCACAGCTGCACTAGTATTAACTACCACAGCTCCACTAGTATTAACTACCACAGCTCCACTAGTATTAACTGCCACAGCTGCACTAGTATTAACCACCACAGCTCCACTAGTATTAACTACCACAGCTGCACTAGTATTAACCACCACAGCTCCACTAGTATTAACTACCACAGCCCCACTAGTATTAACTGCCACAGCTGCACTAGTATTAACTACCACAGCTCCACTAGTATTAACTACCACAGCTGCACTAGTATTAACTACCACAGCTCCACTAGTATTAACTACCACAGCTCCACTAGTATTAACTACCACAGCTCCACTAGTATTAACTGCCACAGCTGCACTAGTATTAACTACCACAGCTGCACTAGTATTAACTACCACAGCTCCACTAGTATTAACTGCCACAGCTGCACTAGTATTAACTACCACAGCTGCACTAGTATTAACTACCACAGCTCAACTAGTATTAACTACCACAGCTGCACTAGTATTAACTACCACAACTCCACTAGTATTAACTACCACAGCTCCACTAGTATTAACCACCACAGCTCCACTAGTATTAACTGCCACAGCTCCACTAGTATTAACTACCACAGCTCCACTAGTATTAACTACCACAGCTGCACTAGTATTAACTACCACAGCTCCACTAGTATCAACTACCACAGCTCCACTAGTATTAACCACCACAGCTCCACTAGTATTAACTACCACAGCTCCACTAGTATTAACTACCACAGCTCCACTAGTATTAACTACCACAGCTCCACTAGTATTAACTACCACAGCTGCACTAGTATTAACTACCACAGCTCCACTAGTATTAACCACCACAGCTCCACTAGTATTAACTACCACAGCTCCACTAGTATTAACCACCACAGTTTCACTAGTATTAACTACCACAGCTCCACTAGTATTAACTACCACAGCTGCACTAGTATTAACTACCACAGCTCCACTAGTATTAACCATCACAGCTGCACTAGTATTAACTACCACAGCTCCACTAGTATTAACCACCACAGCTCCACTAGTATTAACTACCACAGCTGCACTAGTATTAACTACCACAGCTCCACTAGTATTAACTACCACAGCTGCACTAGTATTAACTACCACAGCTCCGCTAGTATTAACTACCACAGCTCCACTAGTATTAACTACCACAGCTGCACTAGTATTAACTACCACAGCTCCACTAGTATTAACTACCACAGCTCCACTAGTATTAACTACCACAGCTGCACTAGTATTAACTACCACAGCTCCACTAGTATTAACTACCACAGCTCCACTAGTATTAACCATCACAGCTGCACTAGTATTAACTACCACAGCTCCACTAGTATTAACTACCACAGCTCCACTAGTATTAACCATCACAGCTGCACTAGTATTAACTACCACAGCTCCACTAGTATTAACTACCACAGCTCCACTAGTATTAACCATCACAGCTCCACTAGTATTAACTACCACAGCTCCACTAGTATTAACTACCACAGCTCCACTAGTATTAACCATCACAGCTGCACTAGTATTAACTACCACAGCTCCACTAGTATTAACTACCACAGCTCCTGCAGCAGTTGGTCAACTCTTTCATATTAGTTTCATTACTAATAATAATAATAATAATAATAATAATAATATTATTATTTTATTATTATTATTATTTTCCTTTCAATAATGGCAAAACCAATTTGGAGATTCTTAACAAATGATCAACAAAGTTTGCCACAAGTAAAAACTTTATTACCTGGTCGGTGAAGGATTTTATTCCCACTCATTTCCTTCTATATCTTTACTTTATTGATGGCAGGCGGGAGGCCCCCTTGCGGCAGGTGGAAGGCGCTCTTCAGTGTCCATTTGTAGTGTTGTAGTGTCAGTGTAGCTGTATGGTCAGTGTACCTGTATGGTCAGTGTACCTGTAGTGTCAGTGTACCTGTAGTGTCAGTGTACCTGTATGGTCAGTGTACCTGTATGGTCAGTGTACCTGTATGGTCAGTGTACCTGTATGGTCAGTGTAGCTGTATGGTCAATGTCAGTATTCATGACGCGATTCAATAAAGTCTTCAACGCACGAGGCTCTGTGCCTCCACTGAGCCAATTGAGCCTCCACAGAGCCAGGAGAGCCTCCACAGAGCTAGGAGAGCCTCCATAGAGCCAGGAGAGCCTCCACAGCGCCAGGAGAGCCTCCACAGCGCCAGGAGAGCCTCCACAGAGCCAGGAGAGCCTCCACAGAGCCAGGAGAGCCTCCACAGAGCCAGAAGAGCTCCTCCACAGAGCCAGGAGAGCCTCCACAGAGCCAGGAGAGCCTCCATAGAGCCAGAAGAGCCTCCACAGAGCCAGAAGAGCTCCTCCACAGAGCCAGGAGAGCCTCCACTGAGCCAGGAAAGCCTCCACAGAGCCAGGAGAGCCTCCACAGAGCCAGGAGAGTCTCCACAGAGCTAGGAGAGCCTCCATAGAGCCAGGAGAGCCTCCACAGAGCCAGGAGAGCCTCCATAGAGCCAGGAGAGCCTCCACAGAGCCAGGAGAGCCTCCAGAGAGCCAGGAGAGCCTCCACAGCGCCAGGAGAGCCTCCACAGAGCCAGAAGAGCCTCCACAGAGCCAGGAGAGCCTCCATAGAGCCAGAAGAGCCTCCACAGAGCCAGAAGAGCTCCTCCACAGAGCCAGGAGAGCCTCCACAGAGCCAGGAGAGCCTCCACAAACGCATTCATTCTCCGACATCGGTGGAGTCGAAAGACTGGACTTTTAGCTAATGTCACAAAGAAGGTGTTAAGCCCCAGAGCGTGTGTCTTACGTGGTCCTCCACGTAGTCACGTATTCTTAAGAGGAGTAATCTGTGTTACGCATAGTCTCCGTCTCATGACCGCCAGGCTCAGGGTACCGTCACTAGTCGCTGTACCGTTCATCGTCTAGCTGAAATAATTTGTATCTGTATCCATTACGGTTTTACAACTGTCCAAAGCATGACTTCCTAATGAAGACCATGCTAGAAAAAGTTGTCAAGGTTTCCTACAATGACTGTCAGTAGAAACAAGGCACTCCTACAGTCAGGCACTGCCACCCAAATTGCTGGCCCATTCTTCCTGTCTTCCTCCTCGACTTCGGATGACCTGTTCAAGGAAATTCTACCTGACGACCTGGGTGACTCAGCGGAGGATACGTGACCCCCCACTACATGGACTGTAACACAAAGTGGGGCACCATGGCAGACACAGCACTCAGACCAACCATGTTGAAAGCCAAGAAACATTCCAGCTGGGACAGCCCCATTGTAGACAAAGAAGCCACAGCTTTGCTGGAAGCAGCAACAACCCCCAGTGATTGTGCACACCTCACAGCTGTGCAGGCTCCCCATCCAGGGGACTTCCTTTTGGCAGTCCCTATGTCTGCAACAGGCACACTTCTTGATACACAGAAGCTCCGTATTACAGTCGCTCTCCGCCTTGCTTCTCCTATCCACACTGTTCATAAGTGTATTTGCGGCGAGGCAGATGCAGACGAATAAGGATAGCATGGCCTGCACTGTGGAAAATCAGGCGGTTGGCACTCACGACACGATGAGGTCAACAATATTATTAAGAGAAGCCTGGCCTTGGCCCAGTGTCCAGCAGAAAGAGAGCCTCGCAGTCTAATGAACCGAAACTTTGTTAGCTTTGCTGGCCGACCAGATGGAATCACACTGCGCCCTTGGAAAATGGCAGACAATTAACGTCGGACAATTACCTGCGTTAATCCTATAGAGTTCAGAGTTCTTTGCTTATCGGAATATATTTATACATCTGAAGAGATTGTATTGCGATGTATCGCCTCCCTGTTAGTCTCCATCTGTCCAAACCCGTCCCACTGCCTGTCTATCTGCCTATCTGTCAACCTGTTCACTTGTTTACATATCTTCCTGTCTGTTTCAGAGATGTTATATTGCACTTGTCCAGACTTGTTCACCTGCTTCCTTAAGTCTTTACCTCTGTGCACAGTGACAAATTGCTTACTATAATCAACGTCTTAAAACATCACTAAGAAATAATGCGAATCTATTTATAAAAAACTCATCCTATCTCGATTTAAAAACATATTCTTAACATATTCCCAAAGAAAGAAATTCTGGTTCTTTCCTTTTCCTTATTGCACAAAAAGAATTCAAGGCAAAAAAATGTTATTGTGAAATGTTGCCGCCAAAACATTATTGTTGCAAAGTGACACTAATCCCGAATATAACACGTAAACCAGATGAGATTAGATCAGCTGAGATAATTATGTCTAGTGCGTCTTGTATCCGTGACGGGGGGGGGAGCGGTGGAAGGGGGAGGGTCAAGAAGGGGGTGGGTCTAAGAAGGGGAGGGGTCAAGGAGGGGGTGGGTCTAAGAAGGGGAGGGTCAAGAAGGGGGTGGGTCCTGGAAAGGAAGAGTCCAGGAGGGTGAGGATTAGGGAGGGGAAGTGTCCAGGATAGGTGAATTCAGCTGAGGAGGGGCCCAGGAGAGAGGGGGGGGGGACGGATCCCGATATACAAAATCTCCACTACATATATACACGTTCATGTACAGACTTTGCATACACAGAAGCAACATCTATACTTCTAATGTTAAGAAGAGTGCTGTAATATTCCAAGGAAATACAGTCAAATACAGGGACCAGTGGGGGGAGTGGGGGGGGGGGGGGGGGAATCTAGCCCATTGTATCACCAAATGTTGCATGAGAAATCCTGTTGCATTTCTCGTGGAAAGAAGAAGAAATTATTATCACCACACAACTAAATAAGGTCAAGAAAGACATCGTGATGAACGATGCTGTAATCTCTCGGTTGATCGTGATCTCTACAACCCACCTATAGGTTAGGTGGGTTGCTTGGGTTGGTATGTTTTGGATTAGGTTAGGAGGTTGGATTTTTTGACGCCGTGGCAAATCCCGAGAACGGCGTTGCTCTCTTACTTGGGCCAAGTCACGACATGTTTTGGGCTCAGAAACGAAAAGTCGTCACTTCAGTTTCATTTCAAGTCTGGGACAGGATACAGAAAATGTATGAAAACTCACTAATTACAATTTTAGAGACATTAATTACTAATAGTGGAGGTGAGCTAATTACTACTGTATATCATAAAAACCATCTTTTACTTGGCTTTTGAATATATATTTATAAAAATTTTGAAGATTTTATGGCATTAAAATGTGTATAAAAACTGTAAATTTAGCGCTGGTTTCAGTTATACTCTATCCCATCTTGAGGTTTGGTAATTATATAATAAAAGTTTATATAATACCCGGCATGGTAAAATATTCTACACATTCGGAAAAAATTTTTAAATGGACAATTTTCATCAATTCCTTCAGCCGAAAAAAAAGTTTAAAAATATATTCCTATATTTCCAAACATTTCTAATATTATTTATGAATTTTGAGTTTCCATATGCGAAATGATCTTCGAAATGTAGTACTGTAGCATATGATTTCTAGCCCCGAAATAAATTTGTAGCCCCGAAATAAATCTGTAGCCCCAAAATAAATTTGTAGCCACAAAATAAATTTGTAGCCACAAAATAAATTTGTAGCCACAAAATAAATTTGTAGCCACAAAATAAATTTGTAGCCCCAAAATAAATTTGTAGCCCCAAAATAAATTTGTAGCCCCGAAATAAATCTGTAGCCCCAAAATAAATTTATAGCCCCGAAATAAATCTGTAGCCCCAAAATAAATTTATAGCCCCGAAATAAATCTGTAGCCCCAAAATAAATTTGTAGCCCCAAAATAAATTTGTAGACCCGAAATAAATTTGTAGACCCGAAATAAATTTGTAGTTTGTTTGACAAACCAGCTCACCATTGGTGATTTTCCTATATGAAAAAAACCACTCTGTACCTTTCAATCTTTTTTATGATTTTATTTATCTATACAAGCGTTTGAGCTGTGGCGCTCAATACGAGTGTGACGCTCAATGCGAGAGTGAGTGCAGCTCGTAAGTCCATTAAGCGTAGCGCTCAGTACGGGGAGCACCTTAGGCTAGTTTAAGCACCAATTGTTGGAACGGTTGAATGGGTCTTACCCCCGTCTGTTTGCCCTTAAAGCCAGCTGTTATATCTTAGAGTCCATGGTCACTGTGATTCGGTCTTCGTGGACTAGTCAGAACAAAGTTAGTCTCGCTACGTGCAGGTTTGGAGTTCGATCCCCGTTAGTCCAAGTGATTCGGTGATCTTCCTTCTCTTCATTCTCGTGTCCCAGTTCTTTGTCTTCCTTCATATCTCCTCCAAGTGTTATATAGTCATACTGGCCTTGGCTTTCTCTTGATAATTAACATACTCTACGCTACTGATCCTCAACTCATCAACAGACTTAACCTCATCAGTTTGGAGTTATTGAACATTGCATCGATGAAGCCCTAGTTAAGAAGCGTAATCATCTCTGCAGAATTGTTGACTCAATAGTTTGCTAGGATTATTGTGCGAGTTTTAATCGCCAGTTTGACAGCAATGTTTTATAGCTAATGTATTTAATACATTATTGATACAGTATCTTAATACAGTATTTAATACATTTGTTTTACTCAAATACTTATTAACTGGTTGCCGAGTCATGAAGGAATGTTAAGGAACGACAATCCACGTAAAATAACATTTGAATTAAAAGGATGAATGAAGACATTGGCATACCACAGAGTCTAGCTAGCACAGTTTAAGTAAACAATTTGAACTCACTGCAGATGTACAGTGACGGTAACACAGCAGCTGCAACGTCACGATCTGAGGATTAACTCGTGAATTCATCCAACTATGTCAATTCTTATGTTGAAAGGAAACAATAGAATAACAGGCCGGGGATCCATCAGTCATTTACACAAGCACTTATGAAGCCTGAACATCTGTTAACAATCATGCCAGCTTTGTTTTCATTTATTAAACATATTATGAGTTCACAACCCAAGGTTATTATCGTTATAAACAACCTCGTAGTCCTTCTTCGGAGCACATAAACTGTTTAATAAAAAGGTAAAGCCGCCATGATTGATGAAAGATGTAACCCGGCCCAGAGGTACCCCTTGAGCAGCCTCAAGGGCTTGGATACTTGTCTTCAAGAACGTTTATTGAGACAATAAAATACATCTCAAAAAAGGATAGAGAAGCTTAGGCTATTTCTACCCTGCTTCGTGGATATTCGTGTGGATAGGCTTGACAGGTTCCAGATGAAAAGGAAATGATAACATTGTGGAGCAATGCCTTGACTGACCACTGCAACATTATCTAACCAACTCGTTATCGCGAGCGTTCCCAATGTCAAGAAACTATTGTACCAAAAAGCCTTATCCTAACCTATCAGCGGACCCACGAAGAGACAACGGGACATTATGTCAAGTGCGTGGGCCGCTATCAATTTTCTAGTGCGACAGTTTTTGGTCCTCGGGTAAAGAACGAACGTCAAAATACGACCTGATATTTAGGAGGACAGCTGGTCAGCTGCCTCTCAGGGGCCAGCTGCCTCTCAGGCCAGCTGCCTCTCAGAGGACGGGTTGATCTAACACAGGGTCACAAATATAAGATCCTCATCACTGAGATTTAACGACGCGGGGGGAAAAACTTGGACATAACATGGTACATAAACTTACCGAAACCCAACACACGAGTCATAAATACTCATCCCGCGTCTGGGTAAAGCTGACATGAGTAACACAAAGCGGAGGTTCAGGTTATGACTTTTCCACTCCCGCACACACACAAAAAAAGAATCGCGGACCAGT